CTCTCTTTTTCCCTCTCCCCCATTTTCCTCCTTCCTCCTCTAGATCCCTCTTTCGCCCCCCCTTTATTACCTTGACTTCTCTCTCTCTCTCTCTCTCTCTCTCTCTCTCTCTCTCTCTCTCTCTCTCTCTCCCTCCCTCCCTCTCTCGTTCCCTCACTTGGTGTAAGACTAACCCTTCTCCCCTCAGTTGAAAAACATTGCCAGGGTACGGACGGTGACCGAAATCAGACCTCACTTGGTGGAGAAAGAGGACAAGGGGAGGATAGCCGGTCCCTTGTGCCACCAAGAAGGCAAAAGAAAGGACGTTTGAAAAAGTGAGAGAAAGACGGGATCCGGAAGGAAGCATAAGTTGAGAGAGAGGAAAGTTTGACTCAACTATTTCCCCAACTGCATGACTATGAGAAGAGAATGGGCTGATTGAGCATCAAAAGGGGACAAAGAGCAGCCAAAGGATTTGAAAAGATAGGCATGTGGGAAGGACTATGTGTCGACCCCCAATGGGGGATTGTATGGATTCTCTTGCTTGTGTGGAATTGTGCAGGTGAGTGGTGGCAAGAAATGCCTTGAGCGGGATAGGGGCGAGAGGAACTGGGCACCGAGAGTGAAAGGGAAGAGGGACAAAGGGGCTATGAGACCCTTGACATAGAGCCAACCCATGGGAATGACTTTTGCGCTTGAGGACTTGGAATGGAAATGAGAGTGCAATCATACCAAGAAAATTGTGATGTTATGTGTGCATGCATATGAGGACCCGAAAGGACCAAGGGGCCTACTTCAATGAGGAAAACAGCAAATTGTGAGATCGATGGATGCGTAGAGGCGAGGGGGAGGACGGCTCTGCCACCACCTGATGACGCCTTATAGTCACATTGCTTAGGGAAATGGTGCGTGGCCTAAGGATGACGCTTAACCTACACACAAGAGAAGAGAAACACTCAAAGAATCCTTGGACTGCCTGCGTATTGGAAGGAGCAATTGCTTGGGAACACAACAAAGAAGCAAAAAAAATCAGCGTTGCGAAACGACCAGCGAGACTACCACCCGACGTGAGGGTTGAGCTACATCCCCAATATCAAAGCTCTCTCGCGCGATGGGCCACCCCCATCCATCTCAAAGCACTACGTGGGGGAGACCTCGGGACGAATGGTCCGCGCCCCGAGCATGAGCGTGGGCGGGCCGAGCCAACTGGGACCCGAAGTGGGGTCGACTAAGGCTCGAAAGTCTACCGGGGTTTGGCCCTACACCGGTTTTCCCTGTCGTGCACAATATACAGTCTCTCGAGTGACGGAAAATCAATCGGGACTCACTAGTCTCGACATATTCCCCTCACTCATTCGCGATGTCCTCATCTCGCACCAATCCATGGTCAGTAGGAATTTTGGGGTGATAGACAGACAGGGAAGAGGAGTGGGGTGGGATGAGTAGTTAGTTTGCCAGGGTTTTTTTTTTTTTTTTTTTTTTTTTTTTTTTCCACTCTTTTATCGGGTCCTTCTTTAAGTTTCCGCCCCTTGGGGCGGGGGAGGGTATGAAGGGGTCAAGGTTTCGTCTCGGGTTCCCTTTGGATTGCAAAACGTCCCCAAGCTGAATAATGTCTTTGTAACGAGCGCGTAACACTCTCTGTGCATCAATGTCCGTCTCAAAGTTGTATCTTTTTCTCACTGGAACTCCCAAAAACCCTAGCACTTCCCTACAACTTTCCGTATCGTTCCACAAGAGAGGACGACGTGCCCATCATCCTCCCCAGGGACCATGGTGAAAGGGAGATTTCAGCGGCGAATGTCACAAGGATCATTCGCCATGACTTCCTCCAGGTGCGAGCTAGCAACACGTCAAGGAGCTTAAGCAGCTTGATGTCTCTTTTCCTTATCAAGTTGACTAGCATCGCCCCTTGGAGGGATCTGACCACAGACATGCCCTGCAGCTAGTTTTTCACTATACGTTATTTCTCGCTCTCGACAATGTCTTGAAGACTGCATTCGTAATCTCAATTCTATCTTCCCATTTCATTGAGAAAACATTCTCGAGCAAAAATCATTTTGGCTTTGTCTCATTCATTACTCTTAGGACATCCACTCATTTTGAATACAATTTTTCCTCTCCCTGAAGCTCAGACATAGCCAAATCCACATGCATCCTTCCGGGGTTATTTCTCCGGGCTTTCTCAGGTCCTGCCAATTCCGCATGCATATCATCTTCTATCTTTTCTTGCCCTTTACTTAATTGACTCTCCATGTGCAATGCTTGGCTCACCCCTCAGCCACTTCTCATCTTTTGAAGCTTATACGAGTCAGTTACACAACCAACTCTCAGTCTGGCAATTCCTTTCGTTGGTCTATGCAGAATCAATCACACCAACTCTTTCTTTCCTGGTTATCTTGCCAAGTCATTTTCTCAAGTTTATACCATGTCACTTGCTCAAGTCCTTTCTGCTCTGGCGTCTTGCCAGACCCCCTTTTCTCAGACCCATACAAAGCCAATTACAATCTTTTTCTGTTCCGACCATCTTGACAGACCCCTTTTTCCCAAGACCAATTACAAGTCTTATTTTCATGTGTATTCATTGGTAGATGGCACACCTTCCCCCCACTCAAAACACGTTGTCCCCATCGCGCGACTGATCCTCACTCAGAGGTACGAGACATTTGGCCCACCAACCGCAAGTCACGGACACAAGCCCATCCGCTTCACAAAAGGAAGAGTGATCAGTTCCCCCCAAGCGGACGATGCCTCATCCTTCTACTCGGTGCGACCTTTCTTCTCTTACGTGGCGAGCACCAATACTGAGGTTCCTCCCCGCGTTTGTCAGGTAGGTCCAATCCAAGCCTGTCAGGGCCTCGTCTAGCCGTAAGAGCGTTCCTCGCGAATCGTTCCTCCCGAGTGGTGATTTTCTGGATTCCGGCTTCTTCCTTCCAAGGGAGTTGGGGCTCTCGATCAGTTTGCGAGTGCAGTTACAAAGTCCTCGCAATTAGTCCCGAAACGGTTATAATGTTTCAGCAGGGCAGTGTCAGTGTCCCGTGGTGGTGGCGGACTCCACCCGGCACCTCGCCCAGCCTCTCCCCTTGGACAGTGCCGCCCTACTTAGTGCGGGCAGCCGTGGTCCGACCCAAACGGCCATGCCACGCCTCTATGACATGGCGTGTGGTTGGGGAGTAGCAAAATAGACTAGAAGAGAATGACTTTACTGCCCATTTGGCTCTCTTGCCATTTGACGTTTAGGCGTTTAACAAAAGGAGCAGTTGAAACTCCCCGACTAGAGCATATTGTCGGAGGTGGTTCCGGACGTCCCATACCGACCCAAGTGGTGGGTGCCTTAGTCCTTTAACCCTCATCCTCTTACAAGAGGAACAGGTCGCGCTGAGACTTCTCAAGGGGATAGAGGTCTTTGGGGTCGCGGTGCATGCGCCGATATCCCTCTCTTGCAGAGGCCAAAGACTAGAAAAAAAAAGCGAGATTCCATTTCAAGGTTCTTTCCAAGTTCATTTCCCGTTGCCTAGGGTCCCCTGTTTATGCAATGCCTTTTTCAATGCTCAATTCAATTTCGATGCTCAGTTTCATTCCCAGGCTCAATCTCATTCCAGCGCTCATTCTCAGGCCAATGCTCAATGCAATATCCCTTTCACGGTTGAGTTCAATATTTCTTCCAATGTCTTTTCCAAGGCTCAGCTCTTCCAATCTCTTTTTCAAAGTTCCGCTCCTCCAGTTCCTTGCATCACAAGCAACCATGCAAGGAGACCCCAGTGCCATTTCCAGAGAATGACCCTTGTCAGGGGCCATTTCGAACAACCTGGTTAGGGTCGTTCTTTCCATTTCCAAGTCGAACAGCCTGGTTAGACCATTCTTATCCATTGCAATCGAGCAGCTTGGTTAGGACCATCCTTATCCATTTCAATTGAGCAGCCTGATTAGGGTCATCCTTGTCCCTTGCAATGTTAGCACCCGAGGGGTTGGGCCTCGAGGACACGGATCCTATCTCGTCTCGGGGGTTAGAGGGCGGCCATCGTCTTAGGTTTTTGCCCGTGCTTCTTCCTTTTCCTCATGTCTTTTGTCATTCTTACATCCATCCATACATTCGACTTAGCGTCTAGTACCCAAATTGAGGCTCGCGTCCCCAAGCAGCACTAGCCCGCCCGACCGTTCAACCATTGCACGGGGTGTTGCATCATTTCAATGTTTCCCTGCCATTTTTCTGACTTCTCATATGTTTCTCAATGCGCTGGGATTGCCTGGGGTAGGTTGGATTAGGCTCCTAGGGAAGAGGGTGTCTCTCTACCCATAGGTCCCCTAACCTCTCACAAGGACTAGTCACGGTGGAGCGACTCATTCAATCATGGGTACATAACTCAAAGGAAAGACTTTCGTCATAAATGTTTCTTCCAACGTTCAAGAGCTCACACGCCGCTGCCCATAAAGTCGGCCAACCCCCAATCCCTTTCTTACTATCCAAAAAACTCATGTTTCCCAAATGGAGTGAGTACTTATACAAAGTAGCCCTAATCACTCACCCTCTATTAGCTCCCTCAATCCAAAAAGTAGTTGCATTGCAGTCCTTACAAGGAAAAATAAGGAGACAGAGTTCGAATGCAAAGACAACATTACTGACTCGTCTTCGTCTAGATCCCCGCTATTTTCCCTTTTTTTTTCTTTAATCTACCCAGCCATCCAGAATTCTATTCTAAGTACAAAAAAACTCTCGTGCCCATTCCCGAAGAAGCAATGACTTATATGAAGTAGCATTTGTTACCCAGTCCTTAGCTGCTTCGAGCTTAGCAACTGTCTCATCACAGTTCATTCGAAAAGTTCAAATACGCAAAAGGAAAGATGACAGTTCTTGCTGCCCGGTTACCAACCCTTCCCCGATTCCCGGCTATTCCCATCATGCCTGATGTCCCCTTTTACTGTCCTGGTGCCCTGCGCCGAGCCTCCCTCCTTGCACGGTCCTCCATCTCTTGCTCCATTAGCCTCTTTATCGTYTGTAGATGACGAAGCGTTTCTTCTGAAAAGAAGGTTGTTGGGGATATGTCTTCTCCCCTGTTCAACTTTTCCTTGGCTTTCATAGCCCACTGACAACGCAAAATACTGGTCCATTGATCGAACCAATCGCTGAAAGTTGGCCCGAATTCTCTTTTCCATGGGTCCTTTTCTTCCCCTGGGTCCTCTTCTCTTCCCCGATCTTCCCTTATGGGCGTTGTTACCTCATCTTCCTCCTCGTCGCTGGTGAGGTCAATGAACTAAACGGGCTCATTCTCTCCCGGCCGCTGTCCTTTCTCTGGGTTCTCTTATTCCTTATTACTAGGATCACTGTCTGAAGGCAGCTCCATTGGTTTCCCTAACTTTAGTGGTGACGGTCCTCTGGTTCCTTGCTTTCTGCCCCCCCTGTTCACAACTAGGTTGTGATAGAACCCCACATACAACTTCCTTTTCTTGGAGCTTGACTCTCCAGCTTGCCTTGACGACTGTGACTCTTTCAGCCTATTAATTGCATTGCAGTCATTTTCATTCCCAAACCCCATTTTTTTTCTTGCTGTCTTTTTTCTTCTTGCCTGGCCCTGTTCATACATAACAGTCACGGTACCCCTCATACACACACATTCCCTTCCACTCCCGTTTGCGGCTCTGGAGGCTTCCCTAGAACTCTTGCTTGCCCCCATATAGTTGGTAGCCCCATTATCCTTTAGATCCCTCGACACATTGTCCCAACACATAGGTGCCCCATGTAGGCAGTCCATGGCATCAACCCCCCCCAAAAAAACTATGGTACATTGTCCCAGCCCATAAGTACCTCGCGTAGGTGGTCCCCAGCGTCACCCCACAGAAAACTATAATACAATGTCCCGTGCTCCCAGGCCCAGTTACAGTTAGCCCATGCAGTCTCACCACGTTCCACAAAAGTTAAGACACACAAACGAACAATCCCTGTGGTCATGATCACTTCCACAGGGAGGCGGCCCAGAACTTATAGCCAACTGCCTGCCTTTTAGACTGTCAGTTCCCCAGTTTCCCTGTCCTGGACCTCTTGTAGCCACTGTTCCACCGGATCCCTGCTAAAAAATCTGACCAATCTCTGTTCCGGAAATGACACTCTTATGGTAGTCCCATCGAGATCCTCAAGTTCAAATGTGTTCCGTCCCACCCGCTTAGCGATCCTGTAAGGCCCTTTGAACCTTTTTCCCAGCTGCCCAGACCATGTGCTTTCAAGAGCCGAGTTCCTAACTAACACGTTTTCCCCCAACTGGAGTGGCTCCTTCCGAATGTTCTTAACCTGGTCCCACCTTGCTTTATCCCTCATTCGGTTGTCCGTCACACGATTGACTACTTCCTCGAGTGCCTCCTCATTCCTGGTGACCTGCTGACAACGTGCGGTGATTAACTCTTCCGTGCTCAAGTGTTGGTCGTCATCTAGCATGTTCCAGGTAGGAGCCAAGGCTTCTATCGGAAAATCGATCTCCCTTCCATACCAGAGTTCTGCTCGAATACATCCCGTTATTCTTTTTGGAGTCATGTTCTCGGCGAAGACTGCCTGCTTGAGAATCCGTGACCAACTTCCCAAATTATCTGCTGCCAACTTTGCGATTGTGTTCTTTAAAGTCCGGTGCCTTCTTTCTACTGGTGCATTTGCCTCAGGATGGTAGGGCTTGGTGATCTTGATCGGTACACACAGTGTCTTAAGCCTGTTCAACACTTCCTGGTTAACGAATTTTGTCCCATTATCTGCTATAAACCTGCGCACGAAGGGGTGTCTTAGGTAGAAATCTTCCACCCAATCGGCCACTGCTTTCCCAGTCTTCTTTTTGAGGGCTACGGCTTCTACATAGCCACTGAGGTTATCCCTTGCATCCAAGATATATCTAAACCCATCCGTCGATACGGGCATAACCGCAAGATCGAGGTGAACAAGGTGTCCGGGTCCCTGTACCCTAGTGGGTCTAAGGGGCTCGTAGACTCGTACGGAGCTCCTTTCTTGACATATCAGACACGTCTGGCAATACGTCGTGACCATGCCTATCATTCCTGGCCAGAAGTACAGGGGCACGATCTTTGCAAGTGTCCCCTTGGACGACCGGTGACCTCCAGCTAGCCCGTCATGCATTGCCTGGATCACGTCCAGCTGCCTAGACCTTCCACAAACGACACGCCTAGGTATCATCCCTTTCTCTTTCTTGAACAGGTGGTCATTTCTTAGGACATACTTTTCGACTTCCTCCTTTGTCTTGGGACTGACTTCCGTGGGTTGTTTGTTCCCTACAAGTAGCAGACCGATTTCTTTGAAGACGCCCTCGCACATCTGTATGAGGAAGAACTCCTGTTCCTTCTGTTTCGTACCCTGCTCCTCCCGAGTGAGGTGGACTAGATACTGACACTCCTTCTGCGCCCAGGCTTCGGCCAACGTCATCACGGCGTCCCGTCCCCCCTCCACGGTCATTGCCATTAGTTCCTCTTTGGCCCCTACTTCTGCTCCCCACGAGTCCTTTTCCTCTTTGCGCCTGATCGTGGTGACTAGTCCTTCCCTGAGTTCTGCAACCACTGCAGGTGCGCCCTTTTTCAAGGTATGAATCAGCAACTGACCAATTGTAGTTGCTGGATCTGCCATCTCATGATCCACAACAAGGGTCCCTCCCTCGTATTCCAGGAAGGCGTCAATTGGTTCCGCGTCCTCTACTCCTTCAACCGTGATACATACCCTGCTCAGCCCATCTGCCCTATTTCGAAGCCCTGCGATTCGCTCGACCTTATAGTCGAATTGCCATATGAAGCCTATCCATCTGCCAATGGCCGGATTTATAGGCTTGTAGTTCTTTAGGGCCCCAACAATGTTGGTGGGATCGATCCTTATGATAAATCGCCTTCCGAACAGGTATGCCTGAAAGGTCTTAAGGCAATGCAGAATCGCTAAGACCTCCTTCTTGAACTGTGAGTACCGCCGTTCTGCCGAATTCAGGGTCCTACTTTCAAATATGATTGGCCTTTCCCTGCCCTCCTCGCTTCTCTGTATCAATACTCCTCCAACTGCCAGCGGTCCCCCATACGTTTCTAAGATGAAAGGTCGTCCTACCTCGTCATTGAAACAGGGTGCTGCTAGAGTGACCTGATTGGATGACAGGATGTCTTTCAGGGTCTGGGTTGCCGCTTCCCTATCCTCGGTCCAATCCATAGTGTCGCCTTCCCTAATCATTGCGCGGATAGGCTCTGCTATCTTTGCGAATCCTTTGATGAAGATCCTCCAGAACCCAACCACCCCTAGGAAGGCTCGTACTTCCGTCGTGGTGCGCCTGTCTCTTATACACAGCTAGATGTGTATAAGAGACAAGGCTCGTACTTCCGTCGTGGTGCGCAGGGGTGTCGGCCACTGGGAGATCTTATCCGTCTTTGCTGGGTCGGGTCTCCTCTCATAAGCTCCACAGCGAAATCCCAGTATGGTTACTTCTGGGACAACCATGATGCTCTTGGGACCGCTTGCAGTAATATTGTAAACAAGGAAGCGCTGGAGTAGGTCCTTAATATCCTGCAGGTGGTCCCAAACAAACTTTCGTACGTCCGGCTCGACCTCCGTCTCGTCCTTGTACCTTGCGCCTTTTACGGGATTATCATCTATATATGGTTTACACTTTTCCGGTAACATATCTTTTGCGACAGCGAGTATCCTTCTCTGCGCCTCTGCTACCGCATTTGTAAATCCCATAGGGGTCACTTGCATCTGCAGCTGCCCTACGGGGGTGTGCATTGCAGTGTACGGTCTATCCCTCGCATCGAGCGGCAACTGATCATATCCTGAGTACAAGTCTACCAGGGAGTAAATACTCTGCCCCGCATGAGATTCTGCCAACAAGTCGGCCTGTGGAAGTGACCCTGCGTCCCTCATTATTACCGCATTGAGCTTCTGCAGGTCCAAGATCCACCTGAGCATCTTATTGGGCTTCCTGAATACGAACCACTTGTTCGCGTAGGGGGATGCGGTGGGTTCAGCCACAAAAGAATCTATCTTAGCTCTAAGCAGGTTGGTGACCTCGGCTGCTATCCCAAACTCATAGGCGGGCCCTTTATCATTTCCAACACTCGTGCTGTACGGTGTGGATCCTGACAGGGGGAACTAGCTTTACGTCCAATCGTCCTTTCTGATGATCATTGAAAGCGAAAGCTAAATGAAACTCCTGGCATGCCTTTCTTATCAACTGAGTTTCTTCCGCTGTTAGAAACCCTTCCACTCCTATTTTCATGGTATCTGCTACCTCATCTGATATGCGATGCCCTTCCGTTGCGCGTCTCTCCATCTCCTCCTCTTTCTCCATGGCTTTTTCCTTTGATGTTTCTACTAGGATCGAGACCGGCTTGGCCTTCTTTCCTACGGGTTTGTATTCTCGCACACTGCCTTCTGGGATCGTTCTCCTAAAAAATGAACGGTCGGGATTGGCCTTGTTATTTCCATGATACGGGGTTGAATGCTAATTATCTTCCCATTCAGGCAGTAGCCTTTTCGAACCTCATCCTCAAACTTGGCAAGCGCTGCCGGGTCCACCCCAACTTTGTGGTACCTGATTGCCTTAACAAGTTGGGATTTCGAGCGCTAGCTCGGGGGTCTCGTTACGGCCTTCTTTTGGCTTGGGCAGGTTGGCCCCAAGTTCAACTTCCTGCTCCTTTTCCGCCACCATAACCCCTAGGGACTCGTCCTCAGGCCTTCTTTTCTTTACGGGCAGCCCCATCTTGATCCATTCCTTTTTACTAAAAGTTTCCTCGATCATAATTTTTACCCTTTCCCTCATGCCTTCCATTCGTGCGAATGCCCCCTTCCGCGCACTTTCTTCGAATGTTGGAGACCAGGTTGCCAATTTGCCCTTCGGAGGGTCCCCTCYGGTCCCAAGAAGTCGGAGGAGTTCCCCGCGGCCGGTCACTGGGTCCTCTATGTCTACCATGTATGTGCTGTCGTGCAGATGCATTCCTATCATTTCCACATTGGCGCACCATGGTCTTCCGAGGATTACATCGTGATCCATTTCTTCCATTACGGTCATTCGCTGAAAGGACCAGATGGATTCTCGGATTCCCGCCCTGACTGCACATTCGGTGACATACCCTGTGAAAGGAATTTCGCCACCGGCTCCCCGGATACTTCCTGCAACTTCCTTGTTTACCGTGCACCCCGTGACCGTTGCGAAATCTCATCGTATGAGGGTGATTTCTGCTCCGCCATCCACTAACGCGTCAGTGTGGTGAGTTCTGATTGGAATTTTAAGTTTCCCAACTGGTAATGCATGGAAGCTAAGCTTTGTCCCGGGGGACGCCCTCATGACTTCGCCACCTTCACGGTCCGGTAGGCTTAGGCGGAGGTCCGCAAAGACTTTCTCCAAATCTCCTAGGCCCCTGCTTTGGAGGTTGGAAACTCCTTGCGGCGCCTCGGCCTCTTCCATGTCCTGCTCTTGCAGTTCTGGGGCCTCCTCTACCTCTACGCGCTTACGCATTAGCAACTGCCTGAGTCCTTTAAGCAGCCTCGGGCTGGCTTGCAGCATGGTCTGAAAGCACACCGATACCATGGTACCCAGTAGCTTACTCAAGGTGCCATCGATTTCTGGCGAAGTCAAGATCGGAATTTGATACCTGAACTTCTTCTTTGCCGCCGCAGCCTTGTCTACCAGTTCGTCCTCCCTTGGCTTCCCATAGACCTTCTCTTGTTCCCCGGCTTCAGTCTCTTGCTGGCCCGTGCTAGTCCTTGTGAGTTCTTCCATTACTGTATCTTGAATAAACTTCTTTTCTGCGCCGGCCCGGCAAGTGGTAATATTTACCCTATCCTGGCCATTGCCTTCTAGGATAAAATTGGTCTGTGGTCCCCGTTCCCTTGGCTGGTCCCAGACAATCTCGGCTATCGGCTCTGCTTCTACGACAGCTATCTCTAAGTTATTCAGGAGGATGACGGCTCGCCACATCCCTACTGGCGAGTTCCAATTGACACGCTCCCCCCTGGGTCTGAGGATCTCACCTTTGAGGGACCTACTGCACCTCTGCCGCTCGATATCGTGATTGAGTCTCGGACAGGCCCGTACGAAGTGCCCGATCATGGTGCAATACTTGCATTGTTAGTTGGCCGGGTCCCTCATGCCAAACCCCCGGTTTGCTACAGTTGCTGGAACCACGGCCTCTTGGGGCGGGAGGGCGGGTCTGGACACTTGCGCCTGCATTACTAACAACGCATTTTCCATTCTGTCCATCTTGCTGTCAACCCCGTGCACCCGTTCGTGCAGACTCTCTATCCCCTTCTTGACCTTATCCTTTTTTTTTCCGGTCAGATTTATGACCTCCCCTTTCTTAAGCAGGGCTAGCGTCTCAGTGACCACTGTCTTTTCCGCGAGGTCTGTTACGGTGCTGAAGTCCACATCTCTCGTGTATTCGAACTTACTGATCTGCTGGTATGCTGACAAAATCTTATCTTTATCAAACTCGGAAAACTGCCTGAGGAAGTATTTTCTTATTATGCGGTCCGTTACCCCGGGAATTCGCAGCGCCACTAACGTAAATGACCTTAGGAAATTGTTGTAGGTCGCATAGTTTTTCCTCTGGACTGCGGCTAATTCGGCCTCTGTCGCCATTTTCTCTGCCTGCAGGTATTTCCTCATCATCTCATTCCTGGTTTCTTTCCAGGATCCACTGGAGGCGACGATGATCATAATGTCCTTTCCCAAGCTTAGCGACACGTGCTGCCCTAGGTGCTCCATCTTTTCCTCTTCCGTCCATTTCAGTAAGGCTGCTAGGTTCTCATAGTCTACTAGAAACTCCGTAATGTTGGCCCCGTCGAACGTGAGTTTCTTCTTTACTTCTGCGAGATACCCCTGGTCCTTGTTTAGTGTCCTGGTGAGGGTGGCGACTACCCTCTTGAGGCCATCTTCGGAGCCACCCGCTTCTCCGGCCGCACAAGTGCCTTCCCCTTCCTTGCTTTCCCTCTGCTTCTCCCTGGTTTTCGGTGTTCCTTCTGGGTCGAATCATCCTAGCACTCTTGCCCTAAGGTTTCAGAGTCCGTCACATGCCCCTGTTACTTTCGGCGTGGCGGGTAGTCTGCTAGTGCCGTTGTCGATGGCGGGTGGGGTCATAGCGTTTTTCGTCTCCTCCGTCGGGGGGTCGTTTTTGTCCTTCCCCTTCTTACTAGGTGTTCCTTTATAGCTATTATCCTTCCCCTCATATCTAGCCTCGTCCTGACCGGTCCTGGGCGTCCCTCACGTGACCCTGCGCCCTAGGGGTCTTCTTCATCCTCGGCCATCTTCTGCTCGATAAGCCTTGCCTTAAATTTTGCAGTCTGCTTTTCTATCTCTGCCAATCTACGACTGACATCCGAGACTTTTGTCTTTTTAGGGGTGGCTCCTGCTGAGTTCCGAGGGCTTGTTCTCATATCGTTTCCCCTTTCCCTGTTTTCCTGAGGTCCCCTTTTGCTAACCCCAGCTTTCCCCGAGCTTTCTCCAATTGAGGCATCCTTTCCGTCTTCTCGGGTTCCTTCCAGTTTGACTGACTCTCGATCCCTGGTTGATCCCTCGTTTCGTTCCCCATCCCCATTAGTGCCCTGATTCCCTCCGCTCTGCTGGTCATCGATTCCTTCCTCAGTCGCCATTTCTCTACTTAGCCTGCACATGGGAAAAAAAATTGTGAAAAAAAGTGGCCGGTTGTTCATAACCGCCCTAGTCCCGGCCCTAACACCCGCCTATTTCCATGTTTTTTGCATCTCATATTAATCGGTCCGATTCTCCTGACTTTTCTTTCCCAGGGCGTCCTTCAGGTTTTTCTCCCGTCGGGGAACTTGCCGCCGCTGCTTGGCATTTTTTATTGTCGCGCTTTGGCTCTTAAGGCCGCGTTTGAGCCCAGTGACCTCCTTATCGAGGATGACCCTTTTGGCTTTTCGACCTCCAGGTGCCTCATAATTTTTGGAGCGGGTGGTCTTCCTAGTTCCTCCCTGCCGCGTCATTGAGTCGGTCGGAACTCCAACCATTGTCCCTCTTTTGCTGATAGCTGCCTGCTTATCCTAGTACCCATCCTTTATTTCCCTACCTCTGCCCGACGCGTTTTCTCATGCTGGTCCTTCAGGCCTGCCCTGCTCATCTGGTTCCTCGAACAGGTCAGCCAACCTAGCAAGGTAATTTTCCCCTATCTCAATTTCTCTGATAATTATTGGCTCATATTCTTCAAACGGCAGGTGGGGCAATCCAAATATCAAGATCTCGAGTAATTCGAGTAGTTCCCAGGCCTGAT